AATCAACCCCCACTGATTCCCCCAGTGCTCCACTAATTCCCGGTACCTCGGAAGTGAGACTGAGCAGGCTGAGAGCTAGGCCTCCACCCTTGTTGGAGAAGAAATTCTAATCCCTAGAACCAAGGGATCCCAGTTTACACAATCCTGGCCTTGGGAGTTACTGAAAGGATACCTCTTCCCTGAGCCGGTGGCTCATGTCAAATTCACACTTTGGAAAGCTCAAGGCAGGACTCGTTGGGAGGGCCCGGAGTTTTGAGTCCAGGCAAGAGAAGAGCCTTCTTCCCCATTCTCCCCACTAATATTCTGAGAATACTAAGTAACAATAAAAGAAGTTTGGAGTGAGGTGAAGCAAAGCAATGAATCAAAATTTTTTGCAATTGAAACAAGACACAGTTTAATGATAGAAAAATGGGACTGTGTACTTCTCTGTGTCACTAGAGATCCCTACCTGAGACTGGGGTGACTGTAGATCAGATGGGGACTGTCCCTTTGGGGTGGCTGACTGTATCAAATCTGGAAGCAGGTCTGCAGGGCTTTGAGTCTCTGTGGATCTTCAGAGCTCACATTGATCCGTTTCCAGCACTCCTTCTCCTTTTCAACCTAGCAGTCTTCCAATCAGAATGTGGTATTGATGAGATTCCTGAAGCTCCACCAGCTCCTCCTGCATTGGACGTTCTTGGGCCTGTCCTGCATATTGAATGAAAGAATCAGATATCCAATCATGAAACTGAAAGAATTAGGGATAGACTGAGAGTCAAGATTTCATTCTTGGCCCGGAGGGATGGCTCAAGACTGTAATTCTAGCACCATGGGATGCCAAGGCTAATTGCTTCTTCCCTGAGCACCGTGGCTGGGCGAATTGCTCCAGGTCTGAAGTTCAAAACCAGCCTGAGCAAGAGCGAGACCCAGACTCTAATAAAAAAAAGAGAAGAATTTAATTGGCAACTAATATATATAGAAAAAATTAGGCCGGGCCATGGTGGCACATGCCTGTATCCAGCTACTCGGAGGCTTGATGGCACAGGATTATCTGAGCTCTGGAGTTTGAGGTTGCCCTGAGGGGAGGCTGACGGCCACAGCACTCACTCTAGCCCTTTGGAGAACTCTCCGCTTTGGGGAAAAAAAGCCAAGACTATGTCTTCAAAAAAAGAAAAAAAAAAAAAAAGAAGTCATTCTTTCAGCCAGCCACCGTCACTATTCATGGAGGCCTTCACCAAGAGACACAGAAAAGTCCTGACGGCCATGGTGCAGGCATGGCCCTTCACCCGCCTGCCTCTGGGGTCCCTGATGCTGACCCCTGACCTGGAGACCCTAAGAGCTGTGCTGGACGGGCTGGATGTGCTGCTGGCCCAGAAGGTTCGCCCCAGGTGAGGCTGACCCAGGGAGCCTGGTAGGGAAGGCACAGGCATGTGTGCCAGACACCTGGGTCAGGGAGAGTGGAGGCCCAAGGGTGGACCAGAGGTTCCTGATGGTGCCAGTGAGGAAGCTCAGAGACCTGCCCATTGCTGAGCCCACTCTGGGAAACACCCCCTGGAAGGCTGGGACTGGTCACCGTGAAGGGACCCCAAAGGGGAATGAACCTGCATCCTCCAGTGCCATTAAAGGCAAGAGAAGCGGGCACTGGAATAGATCCAGTTGGGGAGAGGGCATGGAACAATCAAGAGTGCAAAGAAGCAGGGACTAGAGTGGCTGATGTGTGGGGTGTGCAGTGAAGGCTCAGGTCCCAGCGGGCTTCTCCTAAATCTGAGACTCTCCTGTGTTTTGCCCACAGTGGGCGGAAGCTGCAGGTGCTGGATTTACGGGACGTTGATGAGAACTTCTGGAGCCTCTGGAGCGTGTGGTCTGCAGCCCCTGTGAGCCCCTCACGGGCCACGAGTCTGAGGGAAACAGAGGCCGACTGTCCATGCACAGGAAGGCAGCGGCCACTGAAGGTTGTCGTAGACTTGCGTTATAGCATCGAAGATGGCATCACACGTGAGTTTCTCATGTATGCCTGTGACTGGGCCCAGCAGAGGAAGGATTTAGTACACCTGTGCTGCAAGCGGTTGGATCTTTATGTTTGGAATTTTGATAAAGTCAGGAAGTTTCTGGAAATGGTGGACCTGAACTGTATCGAGGACATTGAGGTGCACATCTACTGCCACAGGGATAGACTAGAACAATTTGTCCCTTACCTTATCCAGATGAAGAGTGTTCGTAATATCATCTTCCGCAACTTCCTGGGGCGGGGTGCCCGTTGCCCAAGGATAGGGGAAGAAATCAAGACCGCAATGACCTCTACATTCCTCAAGCTGGACAAGCTCCAGAAGCTTCAACTGAGGGGATCACCTTCGACGGGAACCATCCCCCTCTAGACAGGTGAGCAAGGACGGTGAGCTTGCTCTGCAGAGCAGACCAGAGCTTCCCTTGTGACAGTAAGCACTAAAGGACATTGACTCTGTGCCAGCAGCCGGGCATGTAACAGCCAAGGACACACAGGATGTCAAAGCCTTGGTGTGTTCACTGCTCTGTCCTGAAGCAGATGTCACATCACCTCCCTGTGAAGGCAGAGGGATCACCTGGGGTAGAGGCTGCTCAGAGAGACACTGCTGGACAGCGAGCTACAGGGGGGCTCAGACACAGTGAGGGCGGGTTCGAGAGTTACTGTTTACCAATGTGACTAAGTGGATCTGCTGAGGAACAAGGTACAGGGAGGTTATTGAAGCAGGGAAAGCACGCCGCAGCTGCGCAGAGCACACACAAGCTACATTCCCGCCAGCGTAGTGAACGCCATCCTGTCTGTG